GAAAGTAGTCACTTGTGGCCCAATAGTAAGCATGCCAAGTTCCAGTGGAATAATCCAGGTTTGAGTCCTGGCCAGGGTCATTGCACTGTGTTTGTGGACAAGACAGTTTACCTTCACAGTAGCACTCTCCATCCAAGTGGTATGGGGGTACTAGCAAATTTAATGCTTGGGGGGTGGGGTGAGTTAACCCTGCAATGGCCATTGTGTGGCAAGCCATCCAGGGGATTAGAAACACTGTTAATTGTTTAACACCATAAAATACAGGATATTAGCTCTTGACTGATAGCATGGGACACTTAGGCCAACTCTCACATTATTTTACCTACTTATACAAAGACCTGAGAGTAACAGGCATAGATGTAAATTAAAGTTTCCTCTGGTATAATTTTAAAAAAGACTATTGCAGAACAGATGATGCTCTGCGGATATTCCTTTCCTGGTGCACAAAGGATAGTAACACTAACAACTCTGGATAGAACTAGATGAGACAAATTGAAAAATTATCTATATTTCCAGTTATATTGAGTGACTAAAATCCAAAGTGCTGTTATAAATGAATGGTGGTTTGCAATGTTATTTTGGATAACACAAGACCAAAAACAAATTGCATGGGGGTGGGGAAGGTAGAAAGTTTGGAGTGGCTTGATTACATGTACATTGATATCGGAGTACTATGTGCAATAAAAACATTGATAAAAACTGTTTTGGCAGTTTCATCCAGGATATAAAAACTATATTTTTAATGAAAAACAAACAAACATATTTTTAAAGTACCATGGCAAGCTTTTTTTTATCATACCTTTTCTGCTCCTATGCTCTGCTTCAAACTTTTTCCATTCTGTGAATAAATAAAGTTGGTGTTATTTCTTCCAATTTTTAACCCCCTTAATTACATTGTAAACATGGTTGTCATTAAAGGCTGTAACATGTAACACCAGTTACGGCTGAGTATGCTTAATAGGCTTTTGATGTTACAGGTGAAAATGCCTTTTGTTCTTACAATTCACCTACAAAGTAACAAGTTTGTTACAAGTATCAAGATCAAGGCTAGAGGTGATTCAAAACGTAATGGCACCCCTGGTAAACTGCTGATGCAGCAGTATATTTTGGTTATCAATGGAAGGGTTGCAGTCTGTCAAAAGTATAGCTTACTTAAGGTTACAGTATACCTTCAGGGGTGTCTCACGCGCAAGCGA